CGGCAATGATCCCGCCAGGCAGGACTTCTGCAGGGGGCGTGGGGGGGGGCGTTAGCTGGGGGAGCTGCATGTCCCCCCTCAACCTTTAGCCCCCCTCTGCCCCAAGATGGAGCAGGGGGCCCCCTAAGTCTCTGCCCACCCTGTGCTATCTGGCCTTTCTGGGGGTGGTGCCATGGGGCCTGGTTTCAGAGGAAGGGAGGATGCCCTGGGGCCCTTAGCACCAACCACTGGGTGTAACAAAGCGCCTGGCAATTGGCACAAGGTCACTACACACCCCACTAGGTCAGTGCCGCTAGCCCTGCTCCCCAGAGGGAGAAACTGAGGCACAGAGCTGCCCAAGGCCTCGCGTGGCAGGGGACCAAAGAACTCACCCAGTTTCCTGCTCTAACCACCAGACAACACTGTCCCCCCCAAGCTGGGAAGGAAAGTCAGGAGTCCTGGCTTCTCATCCCCCATAAATCCTGGTTCGTGCTCCCTTATGACAGCTTACACTAAAACCTGGCTCCTGCTCTAGCCACTAGGCATAATTGCCTCTCCGAGCTGCAGATAGAACTAGATGTCCTCCCTTTCCCCTCACTTCCTCCCTGTGCTCTAACCACTAGCCCTCACTCTGCTCCCGGAGCTGGGAATAGAACCCAGGCACTCCTGGGCCTGCTATGCTCTAACCCCTAGACCCTACTCCCCTCCCAGCCTTAGGAGTTGAGCCCAGACACCATTGCCTCCCTCTACCCCTCCCACGGCTATGCCGTGACTGCACCCCCACCCCCATACCTTTCTCCTCCAGTTGGATGATGGCCGTCCCTGGCCCAAAGCTGTTCCAGGCTGTGCAGTTGTAGCGCGTCTGGAAATCGGCCTCCATCACGTTGTTGATGGTCAGGGTGGAGAGAACCCCGCTGCCCGTGTTGGTTCTCTCCACCGTGTAGCGCTCCAGCGTGCCAGCTTCCAGGATGTTCTCCTTCCAAGCCCAGGCCTATCGCCAGGGGGAGGGGCATGTAAAAGGCCTGGTCAGCACCGGGAGGTGAGATCTCCCGCCTCGTCACCCCTCCACTAAGCCCCGGAGAACCCCAGCATCCAGGGTAACTACAACCCACCAGCCCCTGAGGTACCGGTAGGACACGATCGTCTCCCCACTTCCTGTCCCAAACTGAAAGGGTGTGTGGAAGGGTCATGGTGGGAGTCCTCCGCTCAGCCACAATCTGCATCTTGAGGATACTCAAGTGAGCGCTAGGGCTGTGTTGAAAGGTAGGTGGGTCGACAGATGGGTGTGTACAGGCATAAAGAGATGGCTGTGTATAGGGATAGATGGACAGACAGATGGGTGTGTATGGACTGACAGACAGAAGACAGGCAGATAGGCGAGTGTGTATGGGGATTGACAGAACATAAGAACGTGTAGCCGCGCTGCACGGGGTTCGAACCAGCGGGGATTTAAAAATGGCGGCTCCCCGCTTATGCAAATGAAGCCCGGGAAATTCAAATCCCGGGCTTCATTTGCAAGTGCGGTATGCCTACATTACCCCGCTAGTTCGAACTAGCGGGGTAGTGTAGACATACCCTATGCTTGCTCCTCTGTGTGCACTGCGTTTCCTTAATCGCCTCTTTCCTTCTCGGTTTCTCTCCAGATTGCAAAACATGACCTGGTTCGGGGAGATACATCGCATCCCCTTCCCTCCGCCTGGCCATAGGTTGGGTTATCATAGGTTGCTCATAGGTTGTCAATAACTCAGAGCAAAACCAAGTTCAACACAAGGGCTATGCGGAGGGCTCCTCCTCCAGCCGTGGCTCTTTCAATTAGCAGTTCACAGCAAAAGGGTAAGAAGGGAAGAGATGCAGCCAGCCCAAGAGAACAATTAAACAATGAACACAGCTGAGAGCACACAATGGGGGAACTGCCCACCCGGATTCCAAATGTCTCTGCTTGTTACTACCCCTCCATTCCAACCTCACTCAACTCTCTTTTTCCTCCCAGCCTCCCCTTCCTTCTCCAATGCCGCCATCACGGCCGTGTCCAACTAGAAAGGGTCTGAACAATTTTTGCCAGAAGAGAAAGGCGATTTGGACAAAATCAAAATATTTCCCAGGAACTTGTCGATTTCAACATTTTCGACAACTTTGGTCCTCTTTGCTTCAACTTTTATTTTATAACGAAATAGTAATTTTAATAGTACATTATATTTACATACAGCAGAACCCCAGTTTCAGGAGCATCAGGCTTATGAATGACTGCTTCCAAGAGCCATCTTTCTGCCCTGAATGCGACTTACATCAAGCAGATGCAAAGGTTTGAAAAGTCTGAGAGATTTATCAGCCAAAAAGAGAAGCAGTTTTCTCAAAGAAAAATTGGGCACGCTTAAAGCCATCTGTTACCATTCATTTGATCCACAATCACTGAACAATTAATACATTAACATAGGCATCATATCCACCTCAATTTTTAGATGTTCAATTTTATGTGCTTTTCAACGTTGTGAATTCCTCAAGTGCCCCTGGTTCTCTGGACAGGAGTTCTGCTGTATTATATTTTTTGTTGTGGCTAATATCTATTGTATTCATGATTTCAGTGTGACACCCAAGTTGGAGCAAAACAGTTTTGCCTCATCAAAACGCAACACCTCCCTGGTTTGGAAGAGGAATTTGGGGGGATTTTCGTTCCGTGCCAAATTTCAAAATTCCAACCTTCTGTGCAAAAAAATTATTGCGGGGGGGCAGGGATTTCAGAATTTCCCTTGGAACAAAAATTCCGTTTTCTAACCAACTCCCATGTTGACACCAACACGACCCTGTATCTCCCTCTAGTGGCTGGAGTGGATGGGAGAGGTTTAGGAGCCAGCTCATGGCTCCCACCTGATCTAACCTGTGGGTGATTCGTGATTATTAATCCAGAGACTCTGGCTTTAGGCCTACCCACAGGGCTGTCCTGGCATAAACTCCACGGACAATGTGATGAGCCTTAAAATGAGGCTAGCCCATACTGCAGAAACTGACCATGCTAAATTCGTAGCCTCTCCAGGACTATGGCTCGTCTCGCATCCATATGCATTGGGTGGTTTGCGTCTGTGCTAAAGGTCTCTCCAGGAGTTGCCCCTTGCAAGGCAAACGTGCCTGGGTTCCTAACCCGGGGAGTGGGCATGTGCGGAGCTGTGGTGCATAAACTGGCTTCGCGCCGGCTGGTTCCATTATCTGCCACAGGCAGGCGTCCTCCGCCTAGGGCAGTGGTTTGCAAACTTTCATTCTTATGACCCAGTTGAAGAAAATCATTGATGCTGCGACCCGACATCATTTGACTAGAGTGGGGGCTCTGGGGTGGGGCTGAGGATGGGAGCTTTGGGGTGCAGGAAGGGCTCTGGCTTTGGGAAGGGGGGCAGGGCTGTGAGGCAGCTTCCTGCTTCTCCTGGCACCGCAGACCATGCTGCCCGCAGAAGCACCAGCAGCAGGCTCCCAGCCAATGGGAGTGCGGAGCTAGTGCTCGGGGCAGGGGCAGTGGGTGGAGCCCTGTGCGCTCCCCGCACCCCCCACCTAGGAGCCAGGCTTTCTGCCGGCCACTTCTGGGGCACAGCACAGTCTGTGGTGCTGGACAGGCAGGGAGCTGCCTTAGCTCCCCCCACTGCTCACCTGATCCCCCTGCAGCAACGAGACCCAGGGCCCGACATCCCCCCCCCCATTCCTGGGGCACGACCCGTCGTGTGAAACCCACTGGCCTGGGGGGAGCTGAGAAACACTGGTGACGAGGGCCTGGGGATGGAGGAGGGGGAGGAAGCGGCTGCCCCGGTGTGTTAGCTAGAGGGTCCACAGCCCAGGCTGCGTTCTCCTCTTCCCGCCCCGAGAGCACTCACGATGCGGTCAGGGGGCGGCGTGCTCCCGATGAAACACTCCACCTTCCCGCGGTCGCCACGCCACGGCCTCGCTCGAGATGATCGGGGGGCCTGTGGGAGGATGGGGGAAGGGGGGAGAGAAACAGGCTGAAAACAGGTGGAGACATCCTGGTGCGGGGGTGGTACCGCATGACTGCCAAGCGTCCCAACAGGGTCCCTAATTACTGTTTTGGAGGCCGACAGTGGGGAGCAGCAGCGGGCAGGGGGGAGCACCCCGGGGACTGGGAGATGGGCTGCCATGTGTCAGGGTTCTGTACAAACAGGAGTGCGGTGCATGGGGCATGGCGCTGAGGGACTGGCCGTGGGCAGGAATCCTGGGGTGCCCAGGGTACCAGGCTGTGGGTAAGAATCCTCGGGTACCCGGAGTACCAGGACATGGGCATAAATCCTGGGGTGTCCAGGGTATCAGGTCATTGGTAAGAATCTTAAGGTACCAGGGGTGCCAGGCCATGTGTAAGACTCCTAGGGTGCCTGGGGTACCATGCCATGGGTAGGAATCCTGGGGTGCCTGGGATACCAGGCCATGGGTAAGAATCTTGGGGTACATGGGGTACCGGGTTGTGGGTAGGAATTCTAGGGTGCCAGGGGTACCAGGTCGTGGGCATGAATCCTGGGGTACACGGGGTACCAGGCTGTGAGTAGGAATCCTGGGGTGCCTGGGGTACCAGGCCATGGGTAAGAATCTTGGGGTATATGGGGTACCAGGCTGTGGGTAGGAATTCTAGGGTGCCAGGGGTACCAGGCCGTGGGCATGAATCCTGGGGTACACGGGGTACCAGGCTGTGGGTAGGAATTCTAGGGTGCCAGGGGTACCAGGCCGTGGGCATGAATCCTGGGGTACTGCCTGCTCCCAGGATAGGCGGGGAGGGCTCACCATTGACAAAGAGGGCAACCTCCCGCTCGCCCACGCCGATCCGGGGCACGATGGCCTTGCAGACGTACTGCCCCGCGTCGGCCTGCGTCACTGACTTCAGGTACAGCTGGTTGCTGTTGCTGAGCACCTGGGTACAAACACGGGGCAGAGTGTGACCAGGGAAGGAGGGGGGGGCGCATGCAGAGACCCTCCCCTCACTGCAACCCGCTGTGGGGACCAGGCTGAGCGAGCCCTGAGCCACAGCCAGGGGGAACTGGAAAGGGAATTACCATGTTGGATTCCTTTTTGGTCCAGGTGAGGGTCAGCGGGGGGTTGCCGGCCCACACACACGTCAGCGTCACGTCCGAGCCGATGTCAGTGGTCATGGGCTTGGGGTCCACCACGATCCGAGGGGCGACTGCAAGAGAGGGGCACGTCAGGCGTGGCTGTGTCCCTGTGGGTGTGTCCGTGTGTGCTCATGGCTTGTATGTCCACGTGGCCCCAAAAGTGTCCATCCCATGCTTGTGCCTCATCCATGTGTTCATCCCCAGAAGTGTGTGCATGTGCGCCTATCTCGCCTGTAAGTCCATGCTTGTGTGTGTTCATGGCCCATGTGTGTGTGTCCGTGTGTGTGTGTATGTGCATGTCCCTGTGTGTACACGTGCTCAAGTCTTGTGTGTGTGTTTGTCTCTGTGGGTGAATCTACACTGCACCCGTAGGTCGAAATAAGATACGCAGTGTGAGCTAATTGCATATCTTAATTTGAGCTAATTTCAAAATAGCTTATTTTGAAATTTGGCGCCGTCTACACAGCATGGAATGTCAAAATAAAGCGCTGTTCCGAAACGTCCCTTGACCCTCGTGGAACAAAGGTTACAGGGACACCAGAACAGTGCACCCGTTATTTCGAAATAACGGACGCATTTAAAGATACGGAATAGCTATTTTGGGATGCTTCCAGTATTTTGGGATGCTTCCTGAAATAGTGCTGATGTCTAGACATAGCTTCTGTGTGCATGCATGCTCAAGACTTGTGTGTGTGTCTGTGTGTCCGTGTGCTCAAGACTTGTGTGTGTGTTTGTCTCTATGTGCTCAATACTCATGTGTGTTTCTGTGTGTCCGTGTGCTCAAGTCTTGTGTGTGTGTGTGTGTCTCTGTGTGTATACATGCTCAAGTCTTGTGTGTGTGTGTGTATCTGTGTACTCCTGCTCAAGTCTCGTGTGTGTGTGTGTCTGTGTCTCTGTTACACATGCTCAAGTCTTCTGTGTGACTCTGTATGTGTGGTTAAGACTTGTGTGTGTGTGTTTCTACTCATGCATGTGTGCTTAAGACTTCTGCATGTATGTGTCATTGTGTGCATATGTGTGCTCAAGGCTCGTGTGTTTGCTTATGGCTTGTGTGTGCATATGTACTCACAGTTTGTGTGAGTGTACCTCGTGTTCAAGGCTTGTGTCCGTGTGTGTCCATGCGCATGTGTGTTTGTCTTGTGTGTGAGCCTGCCCCTTGCGCCGTGTGTGTCCATGCGCATGTGTGTTTATGGCTTGTGTGTGAGCCTGCCCCTTGCATGTATCCATGGCTTGAGTGTGTGTGTTCCTGTGTCTGTGCGTGTGCTCAAGGCTGCTGTGTGTGTGTGTCTGTGTGTGCACATTTGCTCCTGGCCTGTGTACGAGCCTTGCCCATGTGTGCACGTGTGTGCCCCGCGTGTGCATGTGTGCTCATGGCTCCCGCTAGCCTCCAGCCCAGCTGTTCAGGGACAGCTGGAAGGGCTCCAGCAAGGAGCAGCCTGTGCCCTTGGTGCCCAGGGCCCCGCCTGGGCCGTGCATGTGCACCGGGGGCAGGACGTGGTGACACAATGCCAGGCTGGATGGCTGGGAGCCGGGGAGCCAGCGAGGGTCGGTCCGTCCCTCGCCACCTCCTTGCAACACCCCTTCCAGCGGCGACCGTCCCCTCTCAGCTCTGCCCAGGCCGCCCCGCGGGGCACTCACAGTGCACGTCCACCAGCGTGCTGACATTGGTGCTCCCCACGTCGTTGTGCACCTCGCACGAGACGGGCTCCGTGAAGAAGGAATAATCCACCTGCGTCTCATACTTGCTCTCCTTGGCTTCCTCAATGATCACACCGCCTTTGGCCCACCTGGAGAGAGTGCAGACAATGAAACACTCCTCCCCCTGGAGGGGAGGGAGAGCAGATCCGAGGATCCCCTCCTCCCCGGGAGGGGGGGGAGGGCAGACACAGCGAGAGGCTCCTCCCTCTGAGGGTGGAGGGAGAGCAGATCCGAGGATAGACTCCTCCCCCTGTGGGAGGGCAGGGCAGAAACAGCAAAAGGCTCCTCCCTCTGGTGGGGAGGGAAGGGAAGACATAGTGAGAGGCTCCTCCCCCTGAGGGGGGGAAGACACAGCGAGAGGCTCCTCCCCCTGAGGGGGGGAAGACACAGCGAGAGGCTCCTCCCCCTGAGGGGGGGAAGACACAGCGAGAGGCTCCTCCCCCTGAGGGGGGGAAGACACAGCGAGAGGCTCCTCCCCCTGAGGGGGGGAAGACACAGCGAGAGGCTCCTCCCCCTGAGGGGGGGAAGACACAGCGAGAGGCTCCTCCCCCTGGGGGGGGGGGAAGGGAAGACATAGTGAGAGGCTCCTCCCCCCCAGGGGGGG